AGGTGTTTTGGCGACTCTAAGTCCTTTGCATTTCCACATAAATTTTAGAATTATCTTGCCAATTTCTACAAGAAACTCTTTAGGAATTCTGACTGGGATTGCATTGAGTTCATAGATGAATTTGTGGAGAGTGGTCATCTTAACAATATCGAGTCTTCCAATTCTTGAAGACAGTGTGTTGTTGTTAGGTGTCATCAAGTTGGTTCCAACTCATAGCGACCCTGTGTACAACAGAATGAAACACTGCCCGGTCCCGTGCCATCCTCACAATCATTGCTAGGTTTGAGCCCATTATCGCAGCCACTGTCAATTTATCTAGTTGAGGGTCTTCCTCTTTTTCGCTGACCCTCTATTTTACCAAGCATGATGTCCTTCTCTAGGGACTGGTCCCTCCTGATAACATGTCCAAAGTACATGAGATGAAATCTCACCATCCTTGCTTCCAAGGAGCACCCTGGCTCTACTTCTTCCAAGACAGATTTATTCGTTCTTCTGGCAGCCCATGCCATATTCAGTATACCTCTCCATTTATTTAAGTCTTCTTTTATCTTATTTCTTTATTTCATTTCTCTCAGCAATATTTTTCAGTGTACAGGTCTTACCTATATTTTGTCAAATTATTTCTCAGTATTCTACATTTTTGATGCTATTGTAAATGACAGTTTTTGAATTTTGGTTTCTGATTGTTCATTGCTAGTATATAGAAATGCAATTGATTTTTGTATATTTTGTTTGTGTATGTGCTGCTGCTGCTGTGTGCCGCCGAGTTGATTCTGACTCATAGCGACCCTACAGGACAGAGTAGAACTGGCCCATAGGGTTTCCAACAAGCAGCTGGTGGATTTGAACTGCCGACCTTTTGGTTAGCAGCCTGAGCTCTTAACCACTTCGCCGCCAGGGCTCCTAGTTTGTATATGTAGTCTTTCTAAATTTATTTAATAATTGTAGTAGCTTTTTTTCTTAGATTCCTTAGTATTTTCTACAGAGACAATTATGGGGGAGAAGAGACAGTACTTCCCTACAGAAGAATTCTAATTAATGAATGTAGAATGAATGAGGAAAATACAAAATCACCACTGGGCAAACAGCACGGTAATAATGGCTGCAGGCAAGATCCACTGATGGATGCTGACATCAACTGGCAAAAGTTGGAGGGGTCGGAATAATTGCATAGTCTCAAAGTATCTCTCCCAGGATATTCATCAATTATAAAGGGAAAAATAGTCACTTTTAAGTGGAGAAACCCAACAGATGCCACCCTAACCAAGTAATCAAGGTTAACATAATCAGTGACAAGATATATCAACATCATGTGCCCTCTGATATGATGTACATCATTTCTGTGGTGTTCTTGCCAAAAACGTATGACCTCAATCTAATCATGAGAAAACAACAGATAAACCCAAATTGAGACAGTCTACATAATAACTGAACGGCACTCATCAAAAGTGTCAAGGTCATGAAAGACAAGGAAAGACTAAGGAACTGTCACAGGTTGGAGGAGACATGACGACTAAATGCAATGTGGGATCCTGGATGGGATCCTGAAACAGAAAAAGGACATCAGGTGAAACTTTGGTGAAATTCAAGTAAGGTCTCTAGTTAGTATTGTACCAGTGATATTTTCCTGGTTTTGATAACTGTGCCATGGTATGTTAAGACGGTATCATTAACACTAGGAGAGGCTGGTGAAGTCTATTCCGGAACTCCCTGTACTATTTTTGCAACTTTTCTGTAAGTCTAAAATCATTTCAAAATAAAAAGTGAAAACATAGTCGTATCAGACAGTGAAAAGGGCCATGAAGAGAAGAAAACAGGTTAACCGGAAGGAACGTGACTTGGGGTGGGAGGAAGAATGGCTAGTAAACAGAGTGGCCAGGGAAAACTTCTCTGGGGAGAAGACATTTGAGCTGAGACCTGAGCAATGGCCATGGGAAGATCTGAGACAAGAGGGCCCCAAGCAGAAGCCACCATGTGCAATTCAACTGAAACTCTGATTAGTATTCAGAGCTCTCAAATATTGTCACAATGAAAGGAATGGAAAAAAAGTTAAGGAAAGGAAGTTCTACCGAAAAGCTACCAAGTCTGAAAGTCATTCAGTCATGGATCATAATGAGGATGCTCATTATGGAATACACCCCTATGTGTAAACAGAAAATCTGAAACTGAGTTTGGCAGTTTTGATCAGCAATGCTTGAAGTTACAAGTAATAATGAAAAGCCATTAAAAAATCATTACTCTTTCAAGTGGTTTTAAGAGTCTATAAAAATCACATTTAAAAATGGCAAAGAGCACATACGATTCTTCATGCCAGAGTTATTTTGTCTGAAGTTGTTCATGGGGTTGTAAAATAAGCTAGGAAAAGAATTTGAAGATCACATTAGAGGAACTCAGCAACTGTCTTTGAAAACGCTTTTCTAGTGCTACAGGAAGTTAGTTTACATTCTTAAAGATCAGTTGTGACCTCAAAATAACTGTTTTGAATGTACAAGTCATTTGGAATTACCACCTTCCACGAGCTTGATTATTTCCCTCTACACTATTAGAATGTTAAGTGGGCACTATAGGAGAACTGGCAATGAACTTAGACGGCAGGCTCTGGAAGAAGACTGCCTGGGTTCAGGGAGCGACATCACACACAATGGCGGAGGAGGAAGCTCTAGAGGTCCATCCTTCCACTAAAATTGCACTGAAAAGAGCAATTGGAGCCAACTATTTTGGAACTCTGGGACCTGGTGGGACACTAAACCAAATGGTTGAATTGGCAAATGTTTTGTTACATATATTTCACCAAAATAAAAATTAAAAAACAAAAGATTGCCTTGGTTCAAATTCCTACTCTGTCACTTATCAGCTGTGTGATCTTGGACAAATTATGCAACCACTCTGGGTCTGCATTTCTTTACCTGTAAAACTATGTGGCATGCTATTAGATTACACCACTCCAAATTGCCAATAACCAACCATTTTGTACCTACAAAAATGGTAATTTCATAGGCTTCAACCTAACAGAGGAAACCCTGGTGGCGTAGTGGTGAAGAGTTTGGCTGCTAACCAAAAAGTCAGTTCGAATCCACCAGGTGCTCCTTGGAAACCCTATAGGGCAGTTCTACCCTGTCCTATAGGGTTGCTATGATTCGGAATCAACTCGACGGCAGTGGATTCAACCTAACGGAAGATGGTAAGTACAACTGGAAAAAAGAGGAGTAAGGAGGCCCAGCTGTGCGAGGCAGGTTGCAGTATGAAATAAGAGTAGCCAGGGAGACCTCATTGAGGTGACATTTCAGCAAAGACCTGGAGGAAGAGCAGTCCAGGCAGGGCAACCAGCCAGCACAAAGACCTTGAGGGAGACATACCTAGTGCGTTCAAAGAACAAGGAAACCTGTGTGGTTGGTGTGGAGTGAGCAAGGCATAAGACTAGTAGGAGATGGGGTTAGAGAGGAAGTGGGTGAGGCAATGAAGTAGGGCCAAGTGGACCATTATAAATAAGGCAGAGGGAGCCATTGGAGAATGTGAGCAAAGGTAACATGGTAAGACTGTAGAAGAACAAGGTGGAAGCAGTAAGCAGGCTCATGCAGTGATCCAGGAGAGGTGATGGTGGCATGGAGGAGGGTAGTAGCAATGGAGCTGTGAGAAGTGATCAGATTCTAGAGTGTTTCTTTGTTTTTTAATTATTATATATGGAAACAGAGAGAGATAACCCCCCAGGTATCTATCACCCAGCTACTGCAAGCATCAATGAATAGCCACTCTTATTTCAGCTGTATACCCAACCACCTCCATCTTCCACTGGATTATTTTGGAACAAACCTGGATTCTGGATATATTTTTGAGTTCAACAGGATTTCCTGACAGATTGGATGTGGGATATCAGAAAAAGAGAGGATGACACCAAGTTTTAGGCCCCAAGTGACTACTAGAAGGATAAAGCTGTCATCGACTGAGATGGGGAAGACCATGGGAACAGGGTTTTTGGCGGGGAGAGGAGGAGGAGAGAGTTATTTTGGATACTATGCTCACATGTGGCAACACCTATCTCAACCTCACAGGGGTATGAAGATCAGATGGGGTAACAGGACTGAAAATGCTTTGTAAACCAGGAAGTACTAGGACTATAGCAAATTATTATTTAGTATTACTTAAGTTCTCCACGGTGCTGCTGGGAATTACAATGTGCAGTGGTTAAGCGTTTGGCTACTAACCAAAAGGTCAGTAGTTCGAATCCACCAACCACTCCCTGGAAACCCTATGGTGCAGTTCTATTATGTCCTATAGGATTGCTATGAGTCGGAATCGACTCAATGGCAACAGGTTTGGGGTTTTTTGCTTTGTTTTTAAGGCATAAATATAGCTAAATGGCTCACAAGGTTGTTAGGCCATACCTCACCTGGAGCAGAGAAGGTATTAAGAGCTTTGGTTAAAAACGTTTCTTCCTGCTCCAAGAAAACAGAAGGTTTTGTTGTACACAGCTGAGATTGCAATCTGGCCAGTTTAACAGAAAGTCATGCTATTTTGGCATACCCATCCATTACCCTTGAGTCGATTCTGACTCACAGGGACCCTACAGGGCAGAGTAGAACTGTCTCATAGGGTTTCCAAGGCTGTGATCTTTACGGAAGCAGACTGCCACATCTTTCTCCCACAGAGCAGCTTGGTGGGTCTGACCTTCTGGTTAGCACCTGAGTGCTTAACCACTGCGCCACCAGGGCTCCTTAATTTTGGGATAGTAAAATGTAATAAAGTATACTGTGGGTCTGAGATTGAATGTCTCTGAAGTAGGGAAGAAATCTGCTAGCTCCACCAACCCATTCTACCAGATAATCATTATTTGCTGTTTGGTAAAGATTACAATTAAAATAGCTACTAAAATTTAACAGACAAGGAAAAAGTAACCAGCAGAAAAACTACACTAATTTGTAGAGAAATCATAGGCATGCATAGTTTCTTTTAAAGAGACGGCCTTTAAGGATATGTATACTAAAGAATTGAAAAAGTGGTACAAGTTTTTTGGGATTTATTTATTTATATTTAAAAGGAACTGCTGAGAAAGGTTCACCAGAAAGAATCTGAACCAGTGGGAACGTTCAGTTAATACTACTGAAACATTACTAATGTAGTTCCAGGACATATGGTCCGGACACAATAAAACCTCTTAGATGTTGTCACTGATATGGAAACCGACTGCTTCTTAATTTCCTAAATACACGGCGGTCATAATGAACCAGATTCAATCACTTCTGTTCTTTTGTGAATATATAAAAATTAAAATACCAATTAAAAAACTAATATATCTTCTCTTTAAATGTTTCTTACAGATACAATTTCAATATTTTCTTTTATTAGTGGCGTGGTTTAAGAGACTTTCATCCACAAGACAAACAACAATCCATCCAAAGGGAACCGATAGCCTACAGGCTCATAGTGCAAAAAAAGAGTTCAAGACTGCAATAACGGACATTTCTAACATACAAAACAGATAAAATTCTTAGAAGGTGCATGCAAAAAACTCTATTAAGGAGATGGTTACAGAACTAGAACATTTGATCATTTTACTGGTGATGTATGTCAATGGAACTCCAGATGTTTCCAAACTCTAGCACTCAACTTTAACCGTCATCTTATGCTTTGTATTTGGCTTTTCCAGTTTCACTAATGACACAGACATGCTAGAAAATAAAAACACAGAAAATCGCATTAGAAAAGTGTATTCTGAAATGAAAGACAAGAACAGCATTTTACGTATCTTGGAAGAATCGTACTGTGCTGCAGGGGTTCTTAAAAAGCAAACAGGTGATAAGTTTGTACTCTAGGCCATTACAGGGGTGGGGTATACCGTGTGTGTCTTTTGAAAACAAAGTAGTAGTTTGTCCCATTAGTTTGATTTTTTGTCTCAATATTTAACTTTGAATAACAAAGCAGGAGATTTTAAGTATATCAAAGTGGGGGCTAGGGTAAGAGTGAAAAAAGATTGAGTCAAAATTGCTTTAGACTGTACTGTTTGCGCAGTCTTCCTAATTTCCCTCCACCATCTTCATAAATGCATGGGACTCCTGCCCCCAGAGCAGGATGCAGGTATTTGAAGGAGAGTGAATTAAAAGACTTAAAACTAGTTCATTTATTTCTTATTTATGACCACATTTATTATCTGAAATAATAATGGGACAGTTATTCTATATTAAAGCTGTTCAACTGTTTCAGCCAGCAAGAAGTGTCACCCTAGCCTGGCCAAGTTCCAGCTCTAAGGACATCGGTACTTGACTAAAGCTTTATGTGACTAATGGGAACCATCAGTCTGTTCAAATTATGAGATGCTGGGAAGAGAAAACAATTCTTCTCTTTCCTCAATTTTTCTACGGGTTTTGAAAAATGAAGGTTAAAAAACGAAGTATTACTTACATTCAAATCCCTGAAGTATTCATTATAGTCAAGGGCATATCCTACAACAAACTTGTCTGGAATTTCAAATCCAACAACTAAAAGGAATCACAAGTCATCATTTTAGATACAGAAAACATCACTTTCAAATCGAATACTTGCAAATGCGCCTTCTCTACAAATACTCTCTGAAGTCACTAAACCATGTCACATAAAACCTGTTTAGGTTAAAGATGGTTAAATGATTGACAAAAAGTAATTCACTTACAGTCTGGTCTATAGCCAACACTTCGGGGAGTCCTCTTCACCAGCAAGCTGTTAATTACAAAATGTGACATGAGACACACGGAGACACTCCAGGGCATTAGAAAAGAGAATGTTAGTCTTGCCAAACACTGTTTCATCTGCATTTAGCATAAGATGGTCAGCTTAATGCAGCCAAAGAAAGACTACAAAACAGAGAGGTAAATCACGGGGATCACTGGGGAAGGGGCAGCAATGAGCTCACACTACAGATGAGGCCCCTGATTGCATTCTACCTGCAACATGGTATCAGGTTCTGATAGCTCCACCCTGGTAACAGCCTCCACAGAAGGGCAACTAATCAGCGGGATGGATGCGTGGGGGGGGGTGCCAAGGGGCAAAGATAAATAGATAACGGCTGTCGGTCCCAATCTCTGGAAATACAATCCCCAAAGCACAAAGGCATGAGGGAGGCGAGCATCTCCTTCAAGCCACACTTCTCATACTTGCTTGCCAAGAGGAACTTCAGGCTACAAAATAACTAGCAGGCTAAAGGAGCCAGTAATTCTTTTTGAGAGCAAAAGATGCAGAGGAAATGAGCCAACTCTACCAAAACCTAATTTTGTTAACCTAAATGCTGCCTGTTGGAAATTTTCAGCCAATTTAAAAAAAAAAAAAAAGCTGAAGCCGTAACGCCCAGGCCACACCCGTGACCAACTACATCAAAATCTCTGGTGGTGGAACACAGACACAGGTTTGTATTTTTTTAATCCCAGGTGATTCCCGCGTGCAGCTAGAGTTTTGAACCACTGGCCCAAGTCTTAGACCCTAAGGGAGCATCTAATTAAGTCCCTCATGATTCCCTTCCACTAATTAGATATAGGATACACTTGAACTCAATTTCCATTTTGAAATACAGGCATTCCCCGGGTCACAAACAAGATCCGTTCCCAACTGTGTCTTTGAGTCGAATTTGTATTTACGTTGCAACATGTGCACACAGTTCTTATTTAGCCTTCCTTTAGTGCAAGAAATGGGGCCGTGCTGGCACAGTGGTTACGAGCTATGGCTGCTAACCAAAAGGTCGGCAGTTCGAATCCACCAGCTGTTCCTTGGAAACCCTACGAGGCAGTTCTACTCTGTCCTAGAGGGTTGCTATGAGTCGGAATCGACTCGACGGCAATGGGGTTGGGTTTTTGTTTTTGTTTTTGTTTTTTTTTTTTGGTTTTTAGTGCAAGAAAAGGCTCAAACCCTTTTCAACAGTTTAAAACCTGCACATGCAGCAAGTGAAGGTGACTGTAATGAAGAATTTGTTGCAAGTAGGGGTTGGGTCAATTGTTTCAAAGCAAGGGCAAATTTACACAACATTAAAGGGCAAGCAGGAGCCTAAATTGGACGTTTGTAACTAGGGACTTACTGGAAACCAAATCTGTCACACCAAAAAAAAAAAAAAAAAAAACTTTCCCTCCACTTGAACTCACTCAGGAACATTCCAGAAAAGGTATCACTAAACAGTGCAAGCTGTACTAAGAAAGAGTTCAGGGGAATGCAGCACCTCATATGCATACGGATCTGAGTGTTTTAATACAACTGCATCTGTAAGGCATGATTTTAGCTGGCTTTCGAAGCAATTTCCATACTTTAAATGGGTAACTACTCCCAAGAAGATCTGCAAATGGCCAATAGGCACATGAAAAGATGCTGAACATCATCAGTCATCAGGGAAATACAAATCAAAACCACAATGAGATACCACATCACATCCACTAAGAAAGCTATTATCAGAAAAACAGAAAATAACAAGTGTTGGTGAGGATGTGGAAAAATCGGAACACTGATACATTGCTGGTGGGATTGCAAAACAGTGCAGCCACTGTGAAAAACAGTTGGTGGCTCAATAAGCTAAACAGAATCACCTTATGACTCCACAATTCACTCCTAGGTATACACCCAAGAGAACTGAAAACAGATATTCAAACGAAACTTGTACATGAATGTTCATAGCAGCACTATACACAATAGTCAAAAGGCGGAAACAACCCAAATGTCCATCAATTGATGAATGGATAAACAAAACGTGGTACACCTGTGCAATGAAATCCAGACATAAAAGAATGAAGTCCTGATACATGCTACAACATGGATGAACCTTGAAAACATTAGGGATGCGTGAAATCAGTCAGTCACAAAAGGACAAATACTGTAGGACTCCATTTATATGAAATATCCAGAACAGGCAAATCCATAGACAGAAAGCAGGTTGCCAGGGGCTGGGGAGTGACTTGCATAACTATAGTACATTATCACAACCAGGAAACTGACATTGGTACAATCCACCAACCTTCTCAGGGTCTTGCCAGTTTTACATGCACTCACTTGTGTGTGTTTAGTTCTTCGTGATTTTATCACATGTAATTGAACTGTATTTCATCACATGTACCACATGTAACCACCACCACAATCAAGATACAGAACTGTTCCATCACCACAAGACTCCTCCTGCTATCCCTTTATAGTTACATCCACCCACCACCCCCCTGGCAACCACTAATCTGTTCTCCATTTCTGTAATTCTGTCGTTTTAAGAATGTTGTATAAACGGAATCATATGGTATAGAACCTTCCAAGACTGGCTTCTGTCAGCAAAATTCCCTTGAGGCCCATTCAAGATGTTGCATCAACAGTTTGTTCCTTTTTATTGCTGAGTAGTGGTCCATGGTACAGATGTACCTCAGTTTAACCATTCACTGGCTGAAGGATATCTGGGCTGTTTCCAGGTTTTGGATATTATAAACAAAGCTATTAAACATTCCTGTCCTGGTTTTTTTTCTTTTATAGCCATTAGTTTTCATTTCTCTGAGATAAAAGCTCGTGAGTGCAACTGCTGGGTCATACAGTAGTTGAATGTTTAGTTTTGTAAGAAACTGACAAACTGTTTTCCAGAATGGCTGTACCATTTCACATTTCCATCAGTTAATAGTCTTTATTTAACTTACCCACAGTCACCTGGATTTTCTCCTATCCTTTCTTCTACAAGTTTTACAGTTTTGCATCTTATAATTAGTCTATGTTCCATTTTGAGTTAATTTTTGCATAAAGTTTAAGATCTGTTTCTGGGTACAATTTTTCTGCATATGAATGTCCAACTGTTCCAGCACTATTTGTTGAAAAAACTATTCTTTACCCACTGCCTTTATTCCATCGTCAAGATCAGTTGACTACATATTCATGGGTCTATTTGTGGACTATTATGGCCCACTGGGAGAGCCCTGGTGGCACAGTGGTTAAAGCACTCAGCTGCTAACCAAAAAGTCAGCAGTTTGAACCCACCAGCTGCTCTGCAGGAGAAAGATGTGGCAGTCTGCTTCTTTAAAGATTTACAGCCTTGGAAACTCTATGGGGGCACTTCTACTCTGTCCTATAGGGTCACTATGAGTCAGAATCGACTCGACAGCAGTGGGTTTGGTTTTTGGTATGGTCCATTGATCTTTGTGTCTCTTCTTTCATCACCATCACACAGTCTTGATTACTATAGCTGTCTAGTAAGTCTTAAACTTGGGCAGTATCTGTCCTCCCAACTTGATTCTTTTTCAAGAAAGAATATTCTAAGTCTTTTGCCTTTTCTTATAAACTTTAGAATCAGTTTGTCAATATCCATAAAGTAGCTTGTTGGGATTGTGAATGGAATTGCATTGGATTTAGTTTAAATTGTGGAGAATTATAGCCAGCAACACAAAATACCTCTTGCACGAGACAGTCTATCTCAATTCCACAGCATATTCCAGAAAGAGGCACAAAAGAATAGTCAGAAGACTATACCACAGTAGGCTGACAATTAAAATCCTAAAGAGCATGTAGAAAAATAAGCAAGTGTACTGACTGGTTTATAGAATATTACTCAGTACCCTAGAATGTATCCTTTATACACTTTCATGCCTGTCTCAAATCTAGTTTAAAGTAAAAACTCACCAAAGCTATCCTTGCGCCAGCTATCAGAAAAGCCCACAAGGACAAACTGCTGACCTATGACTCATTAGCAGACTTACTCCAACTCAAAGATGCTCAACAGATACTTTGATCCTTTCAAAGGGGTTTACAAAACCCAGTTAATCATTTAGGGAAAAAATAAAAGTTGAATCCCTATCTGACCCCTTACACAAAGACTGCAGATTGGGCAAAGATTTAAACATAAAAAATGAAATAGTAAAAGTCTAAAAACACACCCCAAGAATGTTACCCTACCAAAAACTTATGGTTGTAAAACATGAACCCTAAGGTAGGCTGCCTGGGCTCAAATCTCACCTCTGTTGCTTACTACCTCTGTGCCTCTGGGCAATTCTCTATGCCTAAGTATCCTTATCTGTGAAATGGGAATAATAGTGCTACCTCAGAGTTATTGGGGGAAGAAGCTATAATCAGGGATAAACACAGGTAGAAATAGTAAAGTAAAGGCTAACATAACAGTACAGGCAGAGCCAGGAGGTGAGGCTGGCTTGGAAGAAAAGAGGAGGAACTGTGAAACTGCAACACTGATACAAGAGAAGGTGCAACATACAGCACTACTGCATCACTCAATTCCAGGAGCTCCAGGTCTTTAGGGCCCACTCCTCGCCAATCTCCTTACCCGCCCCCCCCCCACCTTTTTGGCGATCTTTGGTCTCAATTTTTTTATTATTGTAAAGATTCATATATATATATATATATATATATGACACAACATTTGCTTGGTCTCCATTTTGCAAGCAGGCCTGAAATCCTCTGCCATGTACCCGGGACAAGCTGATACAAACAGCATGCTGAGAGACCAAATGCTAGTATCAGGCAAGGAGGTGACTGCAATGAAGGGCTTTATGACAGAATTATTTACAAAAGACGTTTACTGAGTCTTATTTGAGATTACATTATCTTTTGAAGATAAAACAAGAGCCAAGAACATTTACCCTTAGAAAGAAGCAGTCATTTACTCCTCTTTCAGATGAAGAAAATTACCCTATGTCAAAATGTCACACGTACCTTGCAACCTTGACCATCTTTGGATTATACTGCCTGACCAAGGAAAGCAAGGTTTGCATTGTTTTGCCAGTGTCAATTATATCCTGAAAAATAAGAAAAGACATTTAAATGGTACACAAAACCAGACAGCTTTAAATTCAGGGTCATTGTATAAACACAAAACATCAAAGACACAAGTCTAACTGGAGTAACACCATTTATCCAGTGCAGCAACTCTCACCAAAATTCATACACTTAGATAGTCTGGAAATCTGGAAATCCTCTGGTCCTCAGCAAATAGTAGGAATGCCAGTTCCCAGGACTGGATTTTGCAGACACAAAGAGGTCAGTGACAGCAAATTTGAAATACACATGCAAGTATATACATGCACGTTTTATTAGTTATGATGCTGCCCTTTGTTACAAAAGATATTTTAGATTTTTTTCCCCACAAATTCACGATAGTGGTTCTCTCCCCTCAATTCTCCAATACAGGTGGGTTAACAGACCACACTTTGAAAAACACTGTTTTATAGCATCCTAAAAGGCATCCTAAAAAAGACAAAACTCATATCTGTTGCTGAGTCAATTCCAACTCATAGCGACCCTATAGGACAGAGTAGAACTGCCCCATAGGATTTCCAAGGAGCGCCTGGTGGATTCGAACTGCTGACCTTTGCTAAGCAGCTGAGTGCTTAACCACTGTGCCACCAGGGCTCCAGAAATTTATCCTACTAACTGCAAATTAATAAGGCTTTACTATAGAAAATGACTTTACATGAAAGTGCATCTTAGCTATTTAATCAAAAGTAGGCAATTATTCAAAACAAACCCATCTCTTACAGGGAAGAGATTTCTTAAATGATAATCCTAACGCTCCTCCACGAAAATAGTCTTTAAAGATGGTGTAATGCAGTGCTTCCCAAAGTAGGGTCTGTGAGTCACAGAATCATCAGGATTGGACTTATGAAAAATACAGACTTCTGGGCTGTGGTAGGCAGAATCCTGAGATGGCCCCCATGATTCCCGCCCCCTGGTATACATACCTGAAATATTCCCTCCCCTTGAGTGTGGGGACCTATGAATATGACGAGCTAGCCACTCCCTTGATCAGGTTATGTTATATAAGGCCATCTTGGCAACTGGAGACAGATTCTCCTGTAGGTTTTTTTTTTTTTTTTTAAGATGGATTTTTACATTTACATGTGTACGCACAGGCCTCTATCACATGTTCAGCATCTAGCACACTGCTCAACATATAGCAGGCCTTAGGAAATACATGCTTTCCTTGATCACTGTACCACCAAGGTTCCTGGGCATAACAGTAAATGGAAAATAGTATATAACTTATGAATATTCTTTTGTATGTATCAAATATTGCATAAGACAAATTTAAATAAGTTACTAAATTGCACATAAAATATGATTATTAACATGTTAAAAAACAAAGAAAAATCAGGGAAATGCAAATCAAAATGACAATGACATACCACTTCATACCCATTTGTTATTGTTATCGGCCGTTGAGTCAGCCCACTTATAGTGATCCCGTGCACAATGGACAAAAAGCTGCCTGGTCCTGTGCCATTCCCACGGTCACTGTTGTGATCCACACAGTTTTCACTGGCTGATTTTTGGAAGTAGATCACCAGGCCTTTCTTCCTAGTTTCAGTTTGGAAGCACCACGGAAACTTGTTCAGCCTCACAGCAACACAAAAGCCTCCACTGACAGACAAGTGGTGGCTGTACATGAGGTGCAGTGGCTAGGAATCAAACAGGGTCTCCCACATGGAAGGTGAGAGTTCTACCACTGAGCCACCACTGCTCCTTCATGCCCACTAGGATGGCTATAATCAAAAACACAGAAAATAACAAGTGTTGGCAAGAATGTAAAGAAATTGGAACCCTTGTACGGTAGTTCTTCAGAAAGTTAAACATAGAATTACCAAATAACACATCAGTTGAACTCCTAGATATATACCCAAAAGAACTGCAAAAACTTGTACACAAATGTTCCTAACAGCACTCTTTGCAACAGCCAAAAGACAGAAGCAACTCAAATGTCTATCAACTGATGAATGAATAAACAAAATGTGGTATATCCATACACAGCCATAAAAAGGAATGAACTCCTGACACATGCTACAACATGGATGAACCTTGAAAATGCTGTGCTAACTGAAAAAGAAGACAGAAACAAAAAGCCACATATTGTACTTTCACGTATATGAAATGCCTATAATAGACAAATCCATCATTAGTGACAGAAAGCATACTAGGGTTGCCAGGGGTTTGAGGAGGGGAGAGTGGAGAGTGACTACTTATTGAGTGTAATGAGTTTCCTTGTGAAGTGATGAGAATGTTCTGGAACTAGATGGTAGTGATGGTTGCACAATATTGAGAACGTACTAAATGCCACTGAATTGTACACTTTAAAAATGGTGAATTATATGTTATGTGAATTTTATGTTAATTAAGAAAATAAAGGTGAAATAAAGACAAAGAAAAAATTCAAAAAAAAAGAGACTGGTAGGAAATACACCAAAAAATTTCCGTTATCCAGTTTAAAAAAAAATTAAATATTCTTTACAAAAAAGTCTCACTCCTTTATTGCACAAGCCTATCATTAGAATTAACGATTGTGAGGATGGCGCAGGACCAGGCAATGTTTCATTCTGTTGTACACAGGGTCGCTATGAGTCAGAACTAGCTCGATGGCACCTAACAAAAACCACCATTAGAACTGATAAAAGAGGAATTTCTTTCTCTGGTTTACCTTTTGAACGGTGCATACTAAGTTAGAAAACCCCCAACACTATATTAGAAGTAAATGTAGAACTTACTTCAACAATCAGGACATTCTAGAAGACAAAAAAGAAATGAAAATCAGTTCAGTGAGTCAGTGTTTCCAATTATAAGTCAAATCGCATCTTAACAAACCCTAAGGAATTATGCAAATTCTTTAAGATACTTTACTATATCAAACACTGTTTTAAACAAGTGGGCCATCTGTTGGAATTTGGAACTCTTTATACTGAAAATTTCATTGCAATGGAATTTTTAAAAATAAAATTTGACCCATATGTTCATTTTTTAAAGGCTTTCATTACTTAAACTGGCAGTCTAATCTTAGACAAGTTACGAAATTTCTCTGGGCCTCAGTTTCTCATGTGTAAAAAAAGGAACTTAAACTAGTTGGTCTCAAACTGTAACATTCTAAGAACTGTAATTTGTATAGTAACTCCAAAATCATGCAGTTACTTACCATATGGAATCCATCTAAAACTCGTTTTCTATTGGGCTGAAATTGATCTGCATTTTCTGAATTTGTCCACATTCTTGGACTAAACTAAAAAAAAGACACTAATGCTTCTTCCCACCATAAGCCCTCACCCCAAATTCTGTATCTCAGAATTTTACAGCTGGAAAGATCCATCCAAAAATTACTTCCAAAGTAGAGAAGGGTCCTATCTGTTCTTATGCCACTTTTAGGAATAAGGCAGCATTTCGCATACTGGTTATAATCATTGCCACAAGAGTCATGCTGTATTTTTTATGTGTTGTTCTGTCATATAACTATAGCATCAGAATTTTAATGTTCTATATATTCTTCTGGGGCCCTGGTGGCGCAGTGGTTAAGAGCTCGGCTGCTAACCAAAAGGTCAGCAGTTCAAATCCACCAGCTGTTCCTTGGAAACCCTATCGGGCAGTTCTGCTCTGTCCTATAGGGTTGCTATGAGTCGGAATCGACTTGACAGCAACTCCTAAGCCAGTGGTTACCAAGACAGGGCACACAAGCTCCTTTGGGTTGCAAGAAGAAAATATTAGAATGTTTTTTAATCTCACCTTGTTTAATCTATATTTTTACATGTGTTCTACTCTGTCATATAGGGTTGCCATAAGCAGGAATTGACTCGATGGCAATGGGTTTTTGGGTTTATATATATATATGGAGTAAATGCTCAAAACATTTCTTTTTGATTGGGCATGCAAATAAAAGTTTAGCTAATCACTGCTCTATGTATTAAAAGTAAACTTACATGCTTCCATGTCTTGAAGCAGTTTATCAGCAGAGACAAGGGCTCTTGGAAGCCTGAGCAGTTCCAAGTAAAGGGTGAAGGGAGGCTAGCCTATAACTTTTGGCCAACAATTCACACTGCTTCACTCTCTGACCCATCCTCAGTGAAACAGTGCTGCTACTATAGACAACAGCAGTCTACTGGGAGCCTATTTTACAAGCAGGAAAAAATTACTTCTTATTCAAAATGGGACTCAGGATAGGGGAAGAAAATAAAACAGATACAAAAAAAAATGGGAGCAATCCAAAGGTGCACAGCAAATGAGTAACATAATTAAGTACTATTATCACACCCAATTTTTATAGGGCCACAGTAAATTTTAATTAGAATGCAAATATATTAATACACTGAAAAAAGCCACATGACTGTTCAGATGAATCCCAGTACAGTGCAAGGTGTAAAGACATTGGCGTTAAATATTTTTTGGCTCAAATTGTGGCTCTGCCACCTAACAGTTGTATGACTTTTTCTTATCTACAGGGCAGGGATGATAATACCTTCTTCATAGAGCAGCCACAAGAATTAAATGAGATGATATACCATGTTTTTATGCAAATAACACGCACTTTTTACATTTGTTTGCTGGCCGTGCCCTCCCCCCACCAGGTATTTTCCTAAGCGTTCTGTGCTAATTTTTTTTTACAGCAACATGTGGAAGAGGATTGGCATGGTGGTGTTTGTAAGGGTGCCTCACAGGGGGAGGCTGTGGCCAGCAAATGAACGCAGAGGGCGCACGTTATTTGCATAAAAATATGGTAGTAATGCAGCAACAGATCTCAAGAGGTTAGTTCCGCTCCTTTCCTCATATCACAATTAGTATGTTCCTTCTCAAAAGACACTGAAAGTTAAATCTTTAGAAAACTGGATATTATCAATTAACGGACCAACCATTATTTCACCACCTACTATGGGGCTCTCAAGCTTGTCTCTACCCTAGCACACCTGAAGGATGACTCAGCCCAATCAGTGACTGTGGGACTCTACTTTGGAAAAACAGCATGGAATTAGGAGACAGAAAAACTGAATTCCAATCTTGGCTCTGCTACTAACTAGCAGCAATGCCTTACAAATGGCACACAGAGAGGTTAAGTAACCTACCTAAGGTGACACAGTTAGGAAGTACTGAGCTAGGATTTGAATCAAAGCTGTCAGACCCCAGGACCCACATTTTTAGCCACCTCATCATGCTGCTTCTCTACCTTTTAAGAAACTATGTGAATCTACTTTTAAAAAGAGCTGAGTTTTTCCCCATATGTAAACTAGATTTCCTAATGAGGCAAACAGCAGGACTTGGAAATATGGGCTTTTAAGTTTAATGTTGGATTCCATTGCTTCTTTGCTATGTGACCTAGGTAAAGATGCTTCAAAGGGTTAAATAATTCTTGTTTAAGTGCATATCTGGCTTAAAGCACTCACTATGCTGTGTAAACTGCCTCTCAGTGATTGACTGAATGCACAGTTACTAATTAAATGACTCTAGGTATGAAGTGCTTCTTTTCTTCAGGATACATACCTTTCCAGTTAAAGTTGAGAGATCATCTCCACCAATTACTTTTATGTCCCCTGTTGACTCGTCATTCTAATAAAAATGAAAAAATATATATATATCTACTTGTGTATACACACACAATTCAAACTATCAAACAGGAATTAGAAGATTTAAGAAGTTAGCTATCTAATGTCCACAGCATTATGATATATGCTAAATGATATGAAGTATAAGAATTATGTTTCTAGAAATGAATGACTAGGTAACTTTCAGCTAGAGATTAGTATAAATTGAAACGTCCTAAGTGGCCATTATTGATGCGAATGTTTTGAAGAGTCCGAAAAATAGGGTACACCCATTTTCGAGTGGGCAGTACTACAGCAGCCACCCGTCTTCAGTCACGGTTACTTCTGAACTGTGAGGGAAGTTATTAGCATGCCAGGTACCTGGTTCTGGCCCTGTACCATTCCCATGAATCATCAAGTTGCAAGGGCTGGTCTGTTATCACACCCAACCCCCAGGATATGTCCCTTAAAGTCTAGCCCAGACCCAGGTCATCTTCAGCATGGTCCAAGAAACCAGGCCTGGTCAGTAGTCATTTAAGGCATACCTCTTAGGCTCTCGCTTTTCCACTCTCACAGAATCCAGTAGAAACCCTTTATAGGAGTTTCAAAAAGGAATGCTCAACACCCACTATAGGTGATGGTGACAATGACCATAATTTTGCTGTGCTGGATTCAAGATAGAAAACTGGGGTGAAGGAGCAGGTGAAGGAAAGAGCTTAGACTTGCCCTAACAGAGAGCAAACTATGCCATAAAGCTACAGCCATTTCAATGGTGCACTACCAGCACAGTAACAAAGAGACTAAGGAACAGAATAGAGCCCAGAAACAGGCCCAGAAATATATGAGGATTTAGTATATGATAACGATGGTGTATTTCAAGTCAGTAAGGAAAAGATGAATTACTCAATAAATGGTGTTTGGTCAACTAGTTAATCACTTGGGGAAAAAATAAATTACGGTCCCTACCTCACAGCATACACAAAAAGAAATTCCACATGGATTAAAATCTAAATGTAAAAAATAAAGCCATAAGTAAACTAGAAGAAAATACAGGAGAATATTTTCACATTCTAATTGGAAAGGGTAAAATCTAAGCATGACGTGACCCCAAACTGAAAGCAAAGATTTGTAACAAATATTCCTATTATACACTGGGCTCCAACAAGAAGAACCCAATAGGAAAACGGAGCCTGAACATAAACAGGCAATTCACAGAAGAGAAAGCCATAACATATAAAATGATTTTTATCTACTGTTTACTCATCCACACTGGCAAAACTTAAGCCTGAGTATGTTGGCAAAAGCGAGGGGAAACAAGTACTCTCATTGTTGGTGAGAACACAAATTGGTACAACCTGTTTGGAGAACAACACAGCAATACCTATTAAAATTGTCAACATGCATGCCATTTGACCCAGTAATCCAACTTTGAGGAATCCATGCTACAAAAATGCTCACAACTATGCAAAGGTACATGTGAGGATGTTCACGGTATCACTTATTTTTAAAAAGGAAATACTGCAAACAACATGTCCATTAACAGGAATCATTTAAATTAAGTTTATCCATACAATGTAATATTATACAGCTATTAAAATTTTTTAATACAGTAACCTCTATACATACTAACATGCAACAATGCCACTTAAAAACACCAAGTAGTAGAACAATGTGTTGCCTATAAAACCATTTTTGTCCAGCACTAAAAAAAAAAAAAACTGTAACAGCAATTACCTCTGAGTGTGAGAATGAGGGATGGTGAGACTTTTTAGTTTCATACACTTCTATTTGTGTTATATGTTTGTATGTACATTTCCATTTTTTATGGAGTGTTTATTTTTGTAAAAGCACAAAGGGCCCAACAGTGCTCAGTTTTGCAAACTAAACATTAAGATATACTTAATAATTAACTGAAGTATGGCTTCTGATATAAAAAAAATCTTTGCACATTATTTTTAATCTTCAGGAAAGTAATTACAAATGCCACTTATTCTAATTAATTTAAAACCTAGAGTTTCACACATATGGAATAATGAATGGCACCCTCCAAAAAAAAAAAAAACCCAAACTGTAGAAAACCTGAAACTTTAAATGGGTGTAAATCATGTTAAATGACTGACACTATAAACCACGCTGAACGGTGACATCTTCTGTAGAAATTTGGTATTACAGTCCAACTACAATGGACCCTCTTTTACAGAGGAAAGGAAAAGATCTGAGAACTGAAGAGTGGAGTCATGGAAAAAAACCCTGTGATCAAAAGGCTATGAAGAGAGAAGAGAATTCCAAGCATGCAAGAAGACACTGCTGCTCTACTAGCATGCAAATCTCCATACTCTTGTTTTCCTCAAACTTTTTAACTTAAGTCTTTTCTGAGGCTTTTTTTCATGGAAACAGTCACCTTTTAAATGAAGACTAATAAAGAAGATTCATTAAGAGTAATGGTATACATTACTGAATATTCAAAGATTCCATAGAAGAATCCTGATCAAAAATGCAGAACAGAATTTCAAATTCTCATGGACTCCAGGCTTTCTGGAGCCACGAAGTCTGGAAGAACCCCTGAAACTATTGCCCTGAGATAATCTTTAAGCCTTAAACCAAAAATATCCCCTGAAGTCTTCTTAAAACCAAACAATAATTTAACTTAACTAGTAAAGAATGTCTGCCTTGAGCATTATGCTCTTTTAAGAACCGTATCTATATGGGATCAAAGTGACAACAGCAAGATTAGATAGGAACCTTAGGGGGCAGTGAGTTTATGTTAATGGGGGAGGAACCACTCAGAAAAGGAGGGTGAGAATGGTTGCACAACTCGAAGAATGTCATCAATGTCACTGAGCTGTACATGTAGAAATGGTTGAATTGGTGATGTTCTGCTGTGTATATTCTCAACAACAAAATAAAATTTTTTAGAAAAAGAGTAATGGTATAGTCCACTGTGCTGGAATACCAGTTTAAGTGCCCAACTTGCACACAAATGGCATCTGTCGATCAATTACCCCAGCTGAGCGGCCAGGAGAATTTCCCTTTCCTCCTTTCTGGCAGTCTGGAACAAGCTTCCTACCTTTTCTCTGCTTCACTATATTAGAGTGTCTCATGGGCCTCACCTTTAATTAGAGTGGAGTCTGAGATGACAGGACTGGCTCAGATGAGGGAAGCGCCCCACAGAGTTGTTCTTCCCTACTATCCCTGTCAGAGAGCCTAACCTGTCCTTCACTCAAGTGTCAATTTTATGTGGTTGACGGTACGGGAAAAGAGCATGGAAAGCCGTGTGAAAACACACAATGAGCTGGCAAAGAACTGTCTGGAACCAACAGGTAGGCTGAGGCCACAGGAGAGGAAGCAGAGAGGTCAATCACCAAGGCTAGGTCCTCAAGGAGGTGTGACTGGGAGTACTACTGAGGTAAGAAGTCCTGGCTCCGCATCCCCTTAGCAGCTCAACCTTATACAGCTTGCTTTTTGCAGTGAACTTCAGATCATTCTTCCAGGACCCTAGAATGGAGATTTCTTGTTGGGAACCACTTGTTCCCTTTATCTCCAGCTAGGCACCAAGTCTACCATACTCACATTTTCTCTTCACATCATAATCCTCCGCCCTTTATCTATTTTCCTGTACCCTAATCAAATATCAGCAAAAGTGAGACTATTACAATGATACGCTTTTAGAGACAGACTGTGCTTCAGATGATAAAAGGGAAGATATACCATTTTCAAAAATATATATGAAGAAAAAAATAAGTCTAGAGGATATACCCCTACGGTAATTTTACTTACCTGTATTTTATGAGTTCTTTTAAATGAACACATTGCTTTTTTAAAAATAAAAGGTTACTGATTTTTTTAATGGTCCTTTTTTTTCTTTCTTAGTGTGCTTTAGGGGAAGGTTTACAGAGTAAATTAGTTTCCCATTCAATAGTTTATAAACAAATTGGTCTGTGACATTGGCTGCAATCCCCGCAATGTGTCAGCCCTCTCCCATTACCACCCTGAACTGCCCATTTCCATTCGTCTGGTTTTCCTGCCCCTTCCTGCCATCTTGTCTTTGCTTTTGGGCATATGTTATCCCTTTGGTCTCATGTAGATGATTATTCTAAGGAGCACTTTCCTTACGTGTGTTATTGTTTATTTACAGGCCTGTCTATTATTTGGCTGAAAGGTGATCTTCAGGATTGGCTTCAGTTCCAAGTTAGAAGGGTGTCTAAGGGCCATAGTCTTGGGGGTTCCTTCAGTCTCTCTCAGATCAGTAAATCTGGTCTTTTTTATGAATCTGAATTTTGTTCTACATTATTTTACTTTTTTCCCATTCTAACCAGGACCTTCTACTGTGATCCTGGTCAGAGCAGCTGGTAGTGGTAGCCAGGCACCACCTAGTTCTTCTGGTCTTAGGCTGGTGGAGGCTGTGGTTCCTGTGTTCCCATTAGCCCTTTGGACTAATTGTTTCCTTGAGTCTTTTTCTTCACTCTCCTTTGCTTCAGATGGAAAAAGACCAACAGCTGTATCTTAGATGGCTGCCCGAAAGCTTTTAAGACCCCAGACGCTACTCACCAAAACAGGATGCAGAACATTTTTACAAACAAGTGTTATGCCAATTGACCTAGATGTCCCCTGAGACAATGGTCCTCAGCCTGTAACTCAGTCCCACAAAATGTTTGGTTACATACGTTTTCAAACTTGCAGAAGTTACTGCATCCTGTCTTCATAGTTTTCATCCCGTGCCTGGGACTAGGATTTGATAAAATAAACATGTTCAATAAAACCACTTTTCATGGCCGAAGATAATACCTTGTGTACAACAGATGATCAATATGTTTGTTAAGTGAATTAATCAATGTCTTTAATCTTTTACACAATTTGTGGTTTCAGGGGACCAAACCTGAACATTATCTTTATGTTCTAGGAATCAGGGTGCTTATATAAAACCTCAGTAGCCTGACAAGGACTATAACAAAGTGAAAATCCACAGCAAAGGGCTATAAAGTGCACTTTTGCCCCAAGTTCTGTTAAAGTTTCCTTATACCACGGATAGCACACATCCCCATTCCTGACAATTTAAAACTGAACAAATTTTTCCCCCATCCCCATCTGTGGTCTCAATTCAATAAGCAGGAGAAAGGCATGAATCACTTTACTTGCTTTTAAATATACACAGACTTATAGGGGATACGCTTTAGATAATCTTGTATCAACCAGTACACCTACGTCTAACTCTTCTGGAGAGAAAAGCATACCTCAAAGCATGTTGACTAAATACAAAGCAATTGACTAAATACACAGAAAAAGGTCAGGCTGAAAGATACTTAACTCGTTTAAGAGACACTTTAAGAAATATGCCAACTTTTCTACACTTTTCATTAATATGCTCACCCAAATAGCGACTTTTTACATGAAAGTTTACAAAGTAACTTGCATCTTTCATATGTAAAACAGATAGCCTAATCAAGCCACTGTCAAGACCAAGACTGAAAGAGCTTAATGAAACTTGCCTGCCACTGAGGAAGAATCCTATACTTAGCATGCAGAACTTCTGAGTAGTAAGAAATGAAATGATTATGAAGTACATACTAGAGAATGTAAGCCAGTTAAAAGTTTTCCGAAATAAGATTTTGGGTTCTGCAGAGTTGGGAAGGCCTGGGTTCAAATCAAAGACCTGGTCCATCTTGGGCCAGTTACTTAAACCCCTCTGTGCCTTTGTTCTCAAAAAAAAAAAAAAGAAACGAAAGAAAAAAAAGTTTCTCTAAGTTAGCAAATCTTCACAGATGAAGTTTTAAAAACAATTTAACATTACCCACTTGGTTTGAGAACATCATAAATCAAGCTAAGTTTCCCTTTGCTTAAGGCCCACATAAAAATACACCACAAAATATTTACTTGTCTGACAACTTTTCCTCCCGAGGCATCATTATTTCTATTAAACTATTTTAATATAAAAAAATACCGCAAAATTGAAATAAAATCAAGGAATGACATTTGCATATTGCATCAATTATTTCATTTTTCTCAATATCACAGAGGCTTAGGGGTAGAAAAAGTCACTGAATACATAGAAGTATATTTCATTGATTCCAAGATGCACATTCACACTTTAATACCTCTGGAATCAATGAATTACAATTGATGGCAACTTACAACTATAACTGACAGTGTTTTCCTTCTTACCAGTACAAAAAAAAAAAATAGAAGTCTTAAAATTAGTGGCGTCTTATATTTAATGAAATGTGGTATTTGGAATACACAGGAATTTTCCATTTAGGCACTAAGCAAATAAAATCCTGCACTGCTACTCTGATCAAGAGTTATCAAGCACACATGCACACACACTCATACACAGGAAGAAAGGTCTTAAAAATATCAGAGAAAAAAGTGGTGGTGGAGTGTAGGGTGATTTAATTCCTTTATAATTTTCTGCAATTGCATTTTTTTATAATATACATGTATTTTTAAATCAGAAAATGCAATTTTTACTTTGAAGAAAAAACAGATGGTTGTGTTGAAACTTATGGCTCTTTATATTTTCTGGGAACATTTAATAGTTCATAGAGTATTTCTTTAGGATTATTAGTACGAATCAGTCAACCTTTAATTCGATGTTACAAAATGGTCAAGATCAGTGTGGAAAATCTACTAATATCGGTATTACTGATGCTGTAAATAATTTTAAATTTCCATTTTATGGTTCTATCAAATTAAGCTGCCTTTTTTTTGTATATTTGAATATCTTCTGTAACAAATGAATTATTAAATAGGGTAGAAATGTTACTTCAAATAAATAGATAATATATAAATAGGTTTCATAATTTCTATTGTTTAGAAGTAAATCTACACAGAATTTCACATAAAATACAAGAGATATTAATTTTTTCTAGGTGAAACTTAATCTAAAAATTATGCTTTGCTTATAGTTTAAAATTTCATCTTTTTTATCAGTTGAGGAGTTCAGCTTAAGAATCCTTTAAGATCTAAAAGAAATAGAAAAACCTAAAAATAGAAAATGGCATTAAAACGTCAAAGTGTTTCTACCGCTCCAAACTGTTTACAACTATAAAATACCATTAAAAAGAAAATATTAAACTCCCTTCCACCGTTTTTTTTTTTTACACTAGTTTTTGCTTCTCAATTAAAGAACGTTCTGTGTAAATCCACAAAGGAATGAAGTATGAATTATAAAGTAACGAGATCAGTGTGTGTGTGCGTGCGCAGTTTAAGAAGACCAAAAAGATAAATTATACCATGGACATGTTTCAAGTAAGTCTAAGCAACAATACATAAAAGGCTGGCCGTTCAGTCTTTTGCTAGCAGCTGTGCTGAATAGAATTAAGTCCTAGTCTAAACCAGCAAAAATAAATACATTTTAAAAAATACAAATAAACAATATATTGAGTAAAAATCCAAATTTTGTGTTCGAACGAGTCTCTAATTTAAGCAAGACTTTGTCAAGTGAAAAGGAGCCTGTAAGTATGAAGTAATGTCATGATGTATGGGCATAAAGGGTCTCACTAGGGTAGGTCTAAGATAATATTTAAATGGTTGCTCAATCACCCATAGGCCTGAGGAAAATGCACAAAAGGTCAAAGACTTGGGTCACTCAAATAGATAATTAACAGAAAGAATGAAGGTTGAAAGTTAAATGTAGATAAGTGGGCTTATTCTCCATGAAAATGTGAACATAAGGCAAGTTTCTACAAAGATGGACTGTAATACTGACTCATGCAACAGCAAAGACTGGACATTTATTCTAACATTCAAAGACACGAGAAAAATCCAATTTTTAAGGAAAACAGTAACTCACAGGAAATATACTCCCAACATGAAGTAATAAAAATCAAACATTCACACGGTCAAAGAAATTGTGGATGATGAAATGCAATGTAAAGATCACACTAATTTTGCTTCATCCCACAGCGTCAACCTTGCTTATTGTGTCAACATTCTGAAGCATCTGAGATCCTATGACACAGGCAGAGTTAGTTACTGGTGGGTCAAAAACGGTTTCCTCAATGTGCTAACGCACTCGCCCTGTATGTACTTTTTGGAAAACAACTGTTCACCCGCCTTATTTATCAGCTCTAACTCCAAGTGACTTATGACCTCCCACCAAACCAGTCTAGCTTCGGAGAGGATATATGCCACTAATAATCACAGTAAAAAAAGAAAAAAATCCTCCAAGCTGCAATGGCAATTCCTAAAAGACGTTTTCAAAACAAACAAAAAAACAAACCACCTTTAAAATAAGTATACAGTCTACACGATGACTAGTTTGAAAAAGACAGTATTCACTTCTACTAGTGAATGTTAAAAATGTCAATGAAGTGAAATGGACACTTAAGTACAATTTGCAAAACTTCAAAGAAAATACAGGAAAACCTACAGTTGTCATGTTTTTTAAAAAGCCAACAGTATTAAATATACTTACACAGTAGCTCTTCAGTCTGATAAAATCTACAGTCATAGGAATGGATCTATCACTATTTCTGTTCAGTGCTTTGATGTAATCCAGCAGGTCAGTAAAGAATTTATAGCCCCCCTTGAGCACACAGAGGGCTACAATGTGATGGCCTCCCATCTCCTTCATCACGTCTCGAGCAAGCCGCTCGGTCCTACAGAATTAAAATCAAGAATTTAATAGAAAGTTTCATATGTTTAAACTTTATAGCAAATAATCCCTTAAGCATTAAACTTCCACAAAACACACCCTCTGCCCCCATGAAGCATACCCTTGCTTCATGAGGCAAAGATAAAAATTTGGTATCTTCAAAATCCACATAGACTGTAGCATCTAGCATAAAATTTTAAAATGCAAATTAAAACAAGAAACCATTTTCACCTATTAGATTGGAAAATTCTGATGAAATGAAATTTCTCTGATGATGGACGACATTAGAAGAGATGGAAGAAAAGGGCACTCACACCCACCATTGGGGGTATAAACTAATAAGACTTTTTGGAGGACAATCTGACAGTATCAAAACATTCAATAAACACCTTCCCCTCAACCCAGAATTTCCACCACTCCAATAAAAGTGAACAAGTGTCCAAACGTGTAAAAGGATGTTCCCTCTACTATGGTCTGTAAGAGTAAAATAATGGAGAGATTCTGAGTGTCCATCAGTAGGGGACTGGTTAAATCAACCATGGTACATCCATAAAATGGAATGTTATGTAGCCGCTAAAATAAATGAGGTAGAGATCTAGATGTCCTAACATGGAAGTTTATAATAAATCTCAGAACTATATGACAGCATGTACCCATGTGTTAAAATATATATGTATATGCACATGTGCATATATAGCATATGAGCATAGACAGTGGATAGGGAGGGAATATGTACAGGAGGCTGAGACGAGAGAACTTTAATTTGCTCTTTTATAGCGTCCACAGTTAAAGAGTATTTTACAACACACGTATATTCATATTATAATTTTAAAATCAAAAACAAAATAGCCAGACACACAGGGCAATGCGTTCAAATACTAAGTAAAGTTATCACTGTAATTCATATGAGGGCAAATTTTCAAGCTAGACTTGCATAAAAATCTAAATCCCATTGTGCCTTCACACGATCCAGCCCCAGCCCAATTCCCTGTTCAGGGTTGAGAAATCAAAGACTCTGTAACTAAAGTTCATTCTTCCAATCTCCCTTCAATGTTTACTTTATTCTCCTCCCTACAGACTCCCACTATACCATGACGTACAGTGGGTATTTAGTAAGGCCTTTTTTGCTTGTTTGGTTGTTAAGCGGGCTTAAAAAATAAGACAGTATCTATTACTAACAAGCTAGCCTAGTTTATGTTCAAATATCAACTACTCAAAACAGTTTCCAACATTTAGAATTAATACAGGAGAAAATAAAAAACTTCAACTTAAGATCTTACTAACCTGTCCATAATTACTCCGTGAGGAATAAACACCTTTTCCAAATCCTTTAAGTAATGATTAGGTATACAAAATAAATCTAGGTCATAGCCTGGTTCATCATCGCTAATCTGAAAAAGAAATATAGCTGTTTCAATGAGAGGTATTTAAATAAAAACTAGGTATGTGACGGTATCAACTTTTTATTAACTCTGTAGGTATGGTAATGAATTACAGTTGTATAAGAAAACAGCCATATGTTTTAGAGATGAATAGAATGTAGATGGGATTTTCTTTAGTTAAGAAAAGAAAAATTTTAAGAGCGAAGACAAACACCACAAATATCTTGATGTTTTAAATGTGGGTAGAGTATGTGAGGATTCATGATACTATTCTTTCCACTTTTAAGTGTGTTTAAAAATTTAACTAAAAATCTTTTTTAAGATACTATAGTCTAAACAATGTAAGATATCACACTGAACTTTCCAGGAAAACTGATGTTCCCCATCCCAAATAGCCTCTCTTATCTGACAATAGGGGGGAAAAATCACCATAAAAAGCTAAATGAGCTTTTAAAAACTCAAACTCCTAGAAGTCTGAGATTGTCATATCAACTCATGAGGTGCCTTCATAGCAGACTGTTTGAGTAGGACCACGTATTGACTGTCTTGGTATCTCCAGTCCCTGGCACATAAAATATTTAATAACATGGAAAATACTGATGATGTGGTTGGGACTCATGGAGATAAGATGTACTATGATTACAATTTTATAAATACTAAATACACACAGAAAAAAGAATATAACAAAATCACAAAAGCTGTTATCTTGGAGAGGGAATTACAGAGATTTTATTTAGTTCATTATACTTTGCTATATATTCCAATTTTTCTTCAATGAGTACACATTATTTTATTTTAAATTCAATAGTCTTTATTATAAATTATTTTTGGCAGTGTGTGTGTATTTGTTCAGTTTTTTTTTTAATGATCACTGATTTCAAATCATATTTCCATTGGAAACGTTTAAATGAGTGGTGTAACAGTTTTATTTCAGAAATATCAACACATTATATGCTGAAAATTATACCCTTTGCAATATTTACACTTATGAAGAAAAATATGTGATTGGGTACGTTGTTTTTCAAATTTCTCTTAGGTTATATGTGAACAAGAAGTTTGAAGACCACCACCATAGACAAATACAGCTGGATGGTACTTTAAGGGTATCTTAAAGACCCTTTAGTGCAGCACCTTGTTCTACATATGAAGCAGGTTGGTGCATCTGGCTTGTTCCACCTGGGGTTGCTCCATATTGTCTTACCCAATCTGTTGTTTCATTGTTAAGAAAGAGATATAAATAAAATTGCGGTTATTTGCAATGATTTGCAGTGTTTTTATATAGACATATAAAAAGTATGGGGACATTAAAAAAGAAAAATAACAAATTTAAGATATGCAAACAAAAACTTGTAAGGCAAAAAGAAGGAAGGAAGGGAAAGAAGAGGGGAGGGAGGAAAAAGTAAAGAAGGGAGGAAAGAACAGTGAGTATGGAGGAATATACCAAACAATGGTCATCTACGGGAAGTGAGGATCAGTCATTTTCTACACTTTAATATTGATTTGTTTTTAAACAAACATACATTACTTTCATAAGCAGAAAAAAATTTCCATTTTGGGGGAAAAAAGATTATGCCAGATCCTCTAAGATGACCATGTTTATAGCAGAACACATTTAATATAACAAGAATGGGGCATTTCAAGAATATTTTACACCAAGCAAGTATTGCTTTTATAAATTCTACAAATGTATAAATTGAAATCTAGTTCAAGTTTTGCAAGAAAACTAGACCTTGTCAAATCCTACAAGGTGATATGATAAACATTCATGTCAGGCTAATCAGAATATATCTGCTCTTACCTAACATGAAAACGTACCATTTCATAGTACTTTAAAAAATCAAGATCCAGAGTACCAAAAATGGCTTCCCTGAAGCTTACTCACTTCCTCCCAGTTACTCACTGCTCTGCCACAAGCATAAATTAGGACACACCCAGGACTCTGACATGTGCACTACTAGGTAAAGACTATTGCTTCTGCAAAAATGGCTGAATGCCTGGCTACAGATTCTGCAGGCAGCCTAAGAACTTCAAGAGTCTTTTTTTCTCAGTCAAAGCCAATGTGAATTCCGCCCAGAGTTCAGAGTTCATTCCAGACAAGCAGACAGACCAGCAGGGATGTACACCAAAAGCTGACTTCCATCTCTGTCAACACACCGAATTAATTTCCAATTTGAAAGTTAAAACTATCAGATTTATGTATTACATTTAATGTCAAAGGGTTGGTTTGTTATTTTAAACGTAAAAAAACAAGTTAATAGGGCTCTTTCCAAAAGGCAAAACCAAAAATTCATACAACTTGCATCTACTGAAGTACTTCAGGCATGAACTCATAACTTGGTTAACATTCACTATATATAAATGGGGTATATTTATGGAAGCCCTAATTTAAGAAAGACATGATTGGTCATGGATGGAGAGTTGTCAGAACTGAGCAAGCAATAAGTACATGAGTGTTCATTACACTATTATTATTATGTCTACTTGCGGATATTCAAAATACATAATACAAAGCTAAGTAAGGGGCAGTCCATTTCAACAATGACAAGACACCAAGTTCAACTTTTTCCAATTTTTCATTTGTGAAAAGTACAAATCCTCTTAATTTCTATTTAATGATCAAATATTAGAATATTTTAAAAGTGAGGATATTATTCAGAACCTGTAATCTTATTACTAATACTGAGAATATCTATGGAGTACATACTATGCTGTGCATACTAGAGAGGATTAGATACATTTGCTGGAACCAGCATTAAAGAGCTTACACCCTAGTGAAAGACAAGACATATATATGAGTAACCATAAGACAAACTGCTAAATTGCTGTTAAAAAAAAATACAGGTAAGACAGCACTCAAACTCTGACTTAGAAGCTTCACTTGCATCTGGACCACTGATATGAAATAATATAAAGTAAATATAATCCCCGAACACACAGGAACTTGAGTTTTAATCATCCCAAACACCAAAGCGTCATATTTAACAGGTCCATTAACTTCAATCTCTACAAGAATGAGACAGAAATATACTCAGTAGCCTTAAATCTTATTAGCTGATATCTGTCCCATCTGATATTATCTGATATTAATTAACCCTATCTGATATGGATTAATTAACAATCCAGTGACTGCTTTGATAAGAAGGGTTGGAGTGAGTTGGAGACTGCAATATATTCAATTACATAAAAACTCATTCGGCATCTGTCTACCTTAAGGCACGGTGCCTTTATAGGGGAATACAAAGATTATAAATTTACAGCCCTCAAAGAGTTTACATAATCTAGTAGAAAAGGCATATTGTTAGGTGCTGTTGAGTCAGTTCCAACCCATACTGACCCTATATACAACAGAACGAAACACTGCCCAGTCCTGCACCATCGTTACAATCGTTATGCTTGTGTGGGGAGAAAAGGTACACCTACGTACAACTAACTGTACAGCACAATAAAGCTTGTAATCTATATCCGAATCCACTTTGACAAGCCCACAAGCTTGTGAATTATCAAAAGCAGATATATATGCATTAAAGATAAAGCTGGAACCCAAGGTCGCACAGCACCACCGACTTCCTCCTAAAGCAATGCTAGGCTTTAAGTAGTCATATTCGGTTGCTTAGGTTGCAAACTGAGAAAAGGGGGTCGGCATATCTGTGACACTACATTAGCACAGCCTTCTAAATCTACTAGGCTAGCGGTGCCCAACTTTCTATATGAATGTAAATCACATCTGTTTTTATTACTTGTTACTTGGTGTTGAATGTCTGAGCATGTGCTTATCACTGGCACCTTCTGAAAGAACCAAACACAAAACGGTTGGAAGTTCATAAAGAAGTCTTGGATGGCTTTTTTTTTTTTTTAGGAGGAGGGGAAGAAAACCCCAAAATAAATTTGAGAACTCCTGAGGTGCCAGAAGTGACAAACAAATGAGAATTTGGTTTCTCTCTAGATCCATCTTTCCCTGTATGGCCATTTCTGGTTGAACTGGAAATCAAAGGACAGGTTAATAATAGTTCTCAGAGTTATTTACCATTTACCCAGACTGTTTGGAAATCGGACTGCATCGCCTCCGAGTTCTAGAACACAGCTCTCAAATTCTAACCTATCTGTGACAAACTTGTCAATGATAAAATCTACTTGGGTACTTTCATTAATACACAATGTTATTGTGAAATATAACATTAATAGTCTACCTTTTGTCTAGAAATCAAAGTCAATAGTTTTGCTATCATAAAGGAATGAAATAATTTTACTTTCTAGTAAAACTGGTATCATAAATTCTTATGTGTGTCACATCTATAATGGCCTTCACACATGAAAAAATTTGAGGTTTACACAAAATTTCTAATTACAAAGATTTATTATCAAAAATTACAGTAAACAAGAAAATTAACTTGAGTTAAGCCAACACCAGGACTTCGAACCAGTTCATTCTGGTTCGAACCCTGCTGAGAATTTACATTTCTAACAAGTTCCCAGGGAATGCTAATGCTGCTGGTTAGGGACCAATTCTGAGAACCACTAGTAGAGCAGTGGTTCTCAAATTTATTATACATAAGAATCACCTGGGGATTTTGTTAAAAATGTCGATTTTTAAAAATCTGTTTTATTGTGCACTAGGTGAAAGTTTACAGAGTAAATTAGTTTCCCATTCGATAGTTTATACATGAAGTGTTCCAGTGACATTGGTCTCATTCCCACAACGTGTCAGCACTCTCCCCATTTCCGTCTTGGGTTCCCCATTTTCTTTTGCCCTGGTTTTCTACTGTTCCTGCCTTCTCATCTTTCCTTTTGAGCAAATTTTGCCGTTTTGATCTCATATAATCGGTTGTTCTAAGGAACATGTTCCTCTTGGGTGTTACTATTGATTTTATGTGCCTGTCTATGGTTTGGCTGAAACGTCTGGTATTTTTTGAGAATTTAAACTTTTGTTTTGCGATTTTTCTCCCACTCTGTCCGGGGCTAAAATGTAGATTATAATTCAGTATATCTGGGGTGGAAATGCAAATTATTAGCATGAGTTCAAACCGGAATGAACCAGTTAGAAGCCCTGGTTCAAATGAAACTAACAGCAGCCAGTTTTAGGACCTAATAACTAGTTCACTGTATACAGCAGCAGGCATCATAATCCAAAGCCTTAAAGGCATCTAAATGTATATAAACTTAATATTTAACTTCCTCAGTAACTGAATAAAAACAACAGCCACCACCATTTTTTGAGTACCTACAACTATCATAACATTTAAGAGAGTGGGAGACCTAAGTTCTAGTCTGGGTTCCTCCTCTTAGTAGCTGTCTGAACAAGGGTATGTCTGTTAAGCTCTCTGAGGCTCCAGTGATTCCTCATCTGTCAAATGGTAATAACCATACCGATGGTACAGGGTTGTCTTGAGGACTAAACGGTCTTAACATAGGGACGGTTATTACTATTCCCCATCAGGGACCGTACAAGGGTGTTTCTTCACACAGACTGTCTTATAACCGGTTCAATAACACCATGAGGAAGCTTTAAAAAAATAACAGCTGCAAGGAGTCAATTCTGACTCATGGTGACCCCATGTGTTTCAGAGCAGAACTGTGCTCCACAACGTTTTTAACGGCTGATTTTTCGGAAGGAGATCGCCTGGCCTTTCTTCCCAGCTGCCTTTGGGTGGACCCTAACGTCTAACCTTTTGGTTAGCAGCCCAGCACCTTAAAGGTTTGCACTACCCAGGGACTCCATGAGGTAGCTAGCACTTTAGTTTTACTTAAGAAAACTTAGGAACAGAAAGGTTAAGTAAACTGCCCAAGGCCAGATTCCACTAAGAACAAAAACACTGCTCTTTTCCTTAAGTCACAATGCCTAATGTGAAACAGTTCTTTCTCTCTTAACTATTTAATTTATTCAGTCAACAAATCATTATTCAGAATTTCCTACATGCCAGGCACTGTGCTATGTACTGGGGTTACAGTGGCGATTCCTGCCCTTGGGAAGTCTACGTTTTAGTGGGAGAGACAATCAACAGGTAATCAGGTAATCGCTAAAATAATAATAAAGTAGGCTAAGGGATTTAACAAAAACCCTCCTGGCTTAGCGGTTAAGAGCTACGGCTGCTAAACAAAAGGTCAGTAGTTCGAATCCACCAGGCACTCCTTGGAGACCACATGGAGCAGTTCTACCCTGTCCTATAGGGTCGCTATGAGTCGGAATCGACTCGACGGCAACTGTTTTTTTTTTTTAAGGGATTTAACTGGTGTGCGTGTGGGGGGGTCTGTTTTAGCAAGCATCACCAGCGAAGGTGGCGGGGGCAGCTTGGCTTGTTTAAGAAACAAGAAAACAAACCAATGAGCTTGGAGACAAGATACCAGAGACTGATCATGGTATAAATGTCCTTGAAGGTAAGGACCAGAGTCACATCTTTTAATCCCCTACAGCATCAAAGAGCATGGGATCCGGATTCAAGTTTATCCGAATTCCAGGTCTGGCTACCTGTGGGCCGTGGGAAAATTACCTAACATTTTTTCACCGGTTCCTTCGTGGATAAGCTAGGTAGACATAGTTACCGCTACCAGCGCTGCTGTGAACATTCAATGGGACAGTGCGCAGTCCCACAAATGGTTATACCTGCAGAGCTATATGGAAATACCAGTGCGCACATCCCCTCCCGTGGGTTCGTCTTTCGTGCTCAGGCCCTCTACAGGGGTGCCCTGAGGGCTTCACCACCACACCCTAAACCTATAGTCCCCACCTCTCACCACGCCAGATCATTCTCAAATTACCCCACGGCTCCTCCCTTGAAGTGGCACGTGTCAACCAAAACGCCACCTCCACCCTCTCCTACCCCCCGCGCAGCCCTCGCTCCCAAGGTTCTCAGGATGAGGGACCAACCCCAAGCTCGGCCATTCCGTCCCCTCTTCCGCCCTCGTGTGACGTAAAGTCCCCCCCCGGGGTTCGCGGGGCCACCCGGCCCGAGCCCGCACTGCGGCCCCCGCTTTTCAGGCCCGGCCGCCGCCACCGGGCGTGGCCGCGTGGGCCTGGGCCGGGCGGGGCTGGCGGGCCAAAGGTGCTCACCACGACGCTGGGGCTGCAGGTCGCCATAACAGAGCTGGCCGGCGTGCGGGCTGAGGGCAGGCGGACAAGAGGAAGCCGGCTGAGAAGACTGAGGCGGTGCTGCGCGGGAAGGCCAAGGGTGCGCGCGAACGAACGAACGCTCGTCGCCGCCGCCGCCGCCGCCGCCTCGGTCGCCGCCGTCCGAAGCTGAGCGCGCAGGCCCCGCCTCCGGCCCCGCCCCTGACCCCCGCGCGCGCGCGCCTCTGCCGGCGGCTACAGGTTTCTACCGCACGTGGCGGCTGTGGGAGTCTTCTTCCGGAAGGTGTCGAGATTCACTAGCGAGGCTTCGATCCCTCTTTCCCTCAGTCTCCCATTCTGAGGGCTTCCAAATTCCAGACCTATTGCCACTCGTGTTTCTTCATAATGACCCTAAACTGGGAGCCGGCTCTCCAGGTTCTAGTCCTCACGCGGCTCCTCTCGTCAGGCGTCCCTTTTCCAAGACTTTGCACCACATTGCGGCTTCCGTTTTCCTGACTCGTGGCCCAGTTCTTCCAAAAATCCTTAACTGGTTGTGAGAGTTAAGACTCAGAGCCCTAGAGTTATCCAGATTAGGATGCAAATCCGAGGGAAACAACTGCTTTGTGACCTTGTCCAAATTACTTAGACTCTCGGAGCCTCAGTAAAATGAGGATATTAACGTTAAGAAAGCTACTGTAAATTCAATGTAAAAATTCAACATTTAAGTATTTTTGCAATGATAGATATATACATACATATATGTATTTTTGCATAGCAATACAAATTTTGGAGGAGCATAGTATTATGGTAAAAACAATGTTCTTGCTAAATTAAGAAATTCATGGAGCTATAAAGTACAGTACTTAAGACAATGCACACTCAGTAAATGAGAACTATCACTGTTACTGATCTTTATTTTTGCCTCCACAGTTCCCTATACGGAACTTAAAAAAATCCCCTGCTGACTCTCAAACAGGTAAACCACAGTTGCTCCAGAGATGCCATTCCTGTTGTACTCATCTGGGTACAGCTCCACAGTGCCCAGCACGTCGTTGGTGGCCTCACTCTTATTAAGGACACTGAGGGATGTGAGAGATATGTGATGGTAGGATATTTGTGAAACTAGGCAAGTCACTGGACTTCTCTGAGCCTTGGTCTTCTCATCTAAAAAATGAAAATAATAATTACTATCGTGAGGGGTTATTATGAGAATTTGTGAAAAGCATGTATGTAAAGCACCTAGCATAGTATTTGTCACATAGTAGGAGTAGCTGTTATCATTTTAGCATGTATGAACTCCATACTTCCCTGTTTCTCTGCCTTCCCTACCTATCATCAGGAGGCAGCAGGCTATAATGGAAAAGGTACATGTTGGCTTTGGACTGAGAAAGATCTGAATTTAAATTCTGATTTCACTGTTTACTAGCATTATGACCTTGGGTGGGATCCTTTGTGTGCTTCATTTTCCTCATATGTCAAATGGGAATAATATCTCCTTCACAGGGTGTGATGAGGATTTAACTAAATAATATATGTAAAAGTGTCTAGCATAGTGCTTGGTTCAGTAAGTAATAACACCAATGTTAAATGGTTCATAATTTTGCCTTAAACAGTTTTTCACTCTGTTTCCTTCTAGCCTCTACAACTTCTCATCCGTTCCCCTGTTGATAGGCTTTTGGGCAGTTTCCAGGTTTTGGCTATTGCAAACAGTGCTGCTATGCACATTCTTTACATGTCTTTTGATGAAGATATGAGTGCATTTCTATTGAGGATAGACATTGAAGTTCAAATTAGCACATTTTTGTTACTTATCCTTTTAATAAACATTAGGTTCTACCTGGAAGTTAATTCAGAGAACTTCCGGTTATACATCCAGCCCCTGACAAGTGCTGACTCAGCTAGCCACATTTGTTTCTAAATTAGGTACCCAACAATTCAGAATCCTCTAAGCTTGCTTCTGGCTTGCAGTTCCTAACCCCAACCTCTGTGGTACCACATACTCTTGCGTTTCAACAGTAGATTTGAAATAAACAGTGATAGTCTTGTGGTTGTAAAGACAAAGAAACAGAACTGTTGTTCAATTCTGTCATTCTATGTGATCACTTGGAGTTTTTATTTGTATTTAAAATGTAAAGCAGCAAACAGTGCAAACTGTAAGATGTAATCTTTGCTTTGGTAAGTGAAAATTTGTTCAAATATGAAATATCAAATTTGGACAATATATTCAAAATGTAAATTTATTCTTTTAACTTTTGTTTTAAAACTAAAGAACGAATCAAGAAAATAAGGGTTCTTACTAATCATTACATTATTATTACTGAAAATAATTTTTTCATATAGAGGCTCTGGGTGTCACATATACTAGGTATTATCCCATGAAATTATCTTTAAACAAACAGTAGTTTAGCTTAATTAATGAAGAATGTCTGCCTTGAGCATTGTGCTCTTAAGAAACTATATGGGATCAAACTGACAACAGCAACTCGAAAGACTAGATAGGAAGCTTAGGGGGCAGTGAGTTTATGTTAATGAGAGAGGAAGAACTCAGAAAAGGAGGATGAGAACGGTTGCACAACTCGATGAATGTAATCAATGTCACTGGATTGTACATGTAGAAATTGTTGAATTGTTGAATGTTCTGTGCGTATTCTCAACAACAAAAAATTTATTTTTAAGAAATATGCTTGGTATGCCACTGTTCTTTGCTAAAATGTCTGCAAGCAAAACCAGTAACACATATAAATATATATAGAGAGATTTATATCAAGGAAACAGTTCACGCGATTATAGAGGCTAGAACGTCCCAAGTCCGTGGATCAGGGTAGAGGCCTCTCCCAAGTCACGCAGCTGCAGAAGCTGGCGAGCCCCAGATCGGCAGGTCAGAGAGCAGGGCTCCCACTCACAGGCTGTGAAGGTTGACGAATTCCAAGATCGGCAGGCAAGACCACAAGGTTTCTCCCGATTCACATAGCTGCAGGGGCTGGCGAACTCAAGATCAGCAGTTCAGAGAGCAGGATTCTGCTCACAGGCCTTGAAGATCAATGAATCCCAACTTCGGCAGATAAGCTGACAGCTCAAGTCCCAAGAACCAGAGATGAGATGACAGGAGGCAGCCACAGGATCCACAGAGAGCAAAAGGCCAGATCGTCTGCTTATATTTGGATGCAGGCCACACCCCCAGGGAAACTCCCTTTCCACTGATTGGCTACTCACAGCATATTCAATCATGGGAGTGATCACATATAAACACTGAGAATCACGGCCCAGCCAAGTTGACGCACAATCTTAACCATCACACCATGACTGTCAAGTTGATGCCAACTCTTAGCAACCCTATAGGATGGAGTAGAACTGCCCATCAGGTTTCCAAGGCTGTAATCTTTTTTTTTTAAATTGCACTTTAGATGAAGGTTTACAGAACAAGTAGCTTCTCATTAAACAGTTAGTACACATATTGTTTTATGACATTGGTTAACAACCCCACGACATGTCCACTCTCCCTTCTTGACCTTCATTTCCCTATTACCAGCTTTCCTGTCCCCTCCTGCCTTCTAGTCCTTGTCGCTGGGCTGTTGTGCCCCATTAGTCTCGTTTTGTTTTATGGGCCTAATCTTTGGATGAAGGGTGAACCTCGGGAGAGACTTCATTACTGAGCTAAAAGGGTGTGCAGGGGCCATACTCTCGGGGTTTCTCCAGTCTCTGTCAGGCCAGTAAGTCTGGTCTTTTTTTGTGCATTGGAATTTTGTTCTACATTTTTCTCCAGCTCTGTCCAGGACCCTCTGTTGTGATCCCTGTCAGAGCAGTCAGTGGTGGTAGCCGGGCATCATCTAGTTGTACTGGACTCAGTCTGGTGGAGGCCGTGGTAGTTGTAGTCTGTTAGTCCTTTGGACTAATCTTTCCCTTGTGTCTTTAGTTTTCGTCATTCTCCCTTGTTCACAAAATGAGACCAGTGGAGTATCTTAGATGGCTGCTCACAGGCTTTTAAGACCCCAGATGCTACTCACCAAGGTAGAATGTAGAACATTTTCTTTATAAACT